GAAAGAATAAACTAGTTTTATTTAAGAAAGGACTTGTGTCGCTGAAGTTCCTCAGAAAGAACTTACACCAGAAATTAACAAACGAACAGAGACGTAACAGTACATTTATAAATATTACCTGAAATTACTTTAAATATATATTTTTCACCTTTGTATTAGCTAAAAGGTATCACCAATAGCAAATTCTAAACAAAATTTCTTCTAGTTAGCTATTATTTATAAATATTACCTGAAATTACTTTAAATATATATTATTCACCTTTGTATTAGCTAAAAGGTATCACCAATAGCAAATTCTAAACAAAATTTCTTCTAGTTAGCTATTATTTTTAAAACCATTAAATTCTGCTTATGTTATCCACATTTATAAAACTGTACCCTCGTGAGCAGGTAGTTTTACAGTTGTTTCCAGCATCAGACTTTATTTGGATGGTTTGTAACTTATTTCTGGCAGTGTAATAAATATCTTCACTGATTTGGCAAAATGTGAAATGTTTCTAAATATTCTTTGAAGGAATTGTCAATCCTTTTAGTTTCACTTTTTTTACATTATTGTTAATTTTCTGAAATATATGCTTGGAATGATATAAAGAAAGAATGTATTTCATGTCATTAACTGTGCATGTATGTTCTAAACTGTTATTAAGAATGCTTTGTATGTAGTTGTGATATTTAAGATCAGTTACAGTTCTTACTTAGTGTATTTTTATAGTTAGAAATCTGTCTTGAAAATTCACTCCTGAAAAAGTTTATGACCCGTCATTTATAGCATGTTGTAAAGATTTTTTAGTTTGAGAGAAAATAAACTAAACCTGCAAGGCAAATTGTCCTAAATCTTCCCAGAAATCAATAAAAAATTTCGTACAAATTACACAATCCTGCACTTTACTCTTATCATGTAGGTGATTCAACAGTTGATGAAACTACAAGTACTGTGTTAAAATGTGCACAACAGCAGACTGGGATTTGTATATAATTTTTAGATATTATAACTTAATCCGTTAATATCCGAAATTAAAACAGATGGAAAATCATTTAATACAAGTAAAAGAAATTTTACCTTATGTACTTGTAACATTTTTTTTTCTGCCATTGACCAGATGACCACAGTAATTTGTATCCAGAGGTATCTTGATTAGAAAAAAAAATTAAAACCTTAGTAATGTGATTGTTATAAGGAGGTGATCATTACAGTTATTTATTATATAAAAAAAAGTTTTCTCAATTTTGTAATAATAAGATTGAATTTAATATTAAATTTAACATGCTTTAAATTCAACTTTTGCGTACATTTTGTTTTCTTATTTAATATTTTATTGTTTTTTTGTCTTTCAGATGCTAAGGAATAGCTGTTTGACTCTCATTCATTTTACATTTCCTCAAGATGTGGCAAGTATTTGCTTATTTTGTTTTAAACAGATTTTGCCATCAGATTCTGAAATTAAAACTTCATGTATATAACTATAAGCTATGCTTCATTCCTCAAAGTTTTATATCACACAGTGCAGTATAGAAGTAGAATTAAAGCAGACAGTGTATATATTTTGATTAATTCTGTCTTCAAAATATAATTGCTTTATTGTTGTTGATTTTTTCTGAACAGATATTTGAATATGAAAGACTTGTAGATATCTTGCTTTACATTGTGTCCCAAGATGATCGGGATGAATTTGTTCAGCAAGTTAGCATCTATTTGTTAAACAGTCTTGCCTGTCAAGTAGATGGCGACCAGAAGAGATTAGTTGGAGATCGAGGAGCAATTCAGGTATTAAAGTTTCTGTGTGTAATAAATTGTTATGATGATTATCCTGAGAGTCATTGCCTTTTCTTCATTTTGAGTATTTCACATCTAAACTATGAAGTTTCTTTTTCTATGGAAAGTGTTTTACATGTAAAATTTCCCAGAATATGTCACTTCACATTTTGTCAAAACAATGTATGTGTAATTAAATTAGAAATGATGCATTTTTTTACATTATCAAATGTTTTAATTCACATGAACTAATTTTTGTAGTTTCAAAACTTTGTGTCTTTGAATCTGTAAAATTGGGCTTTTTGACACATACAGTTTGACATTATATTCTCAGTTTAAAATGTACAAGATATTTTCCAATTTTAAATGTACATCTTACAAGATGTTTCCTAATATTAAATATACATCTTACAAGATATTACCTAATTTAAAATGTACATCTTGCAAGATATTTCCTAATTTAAAATGTACATCTTGCAAGATATTTTCTAATTTTAAATGTACATCTTACAAGATATTTCCTAATTTAAAATGTACATCTTGCAAGATATTTCCTAATTTTAAATGTACATCTTACAAGATATTACCTAATTTAAAATGTACATCTTGCAAGATATTTCCTAATTTAAAATGTACATCTTACAAGATATTTCCTAATTTTAAATGTACATCTTACAAGATATTACCTAATTTAAAATGTACATCTTGCAAGATATTTTCTAATTTTAAATGTACATCTTACAAGATATTTCCTAATTTAAAATGTACATCTTACAAGATATTCTAAATATTTTTCTTTAAGCTATAAAAAAGATAAAATATAGTCATTTTCCAAACAAAAAGGAAGAATGCGACTACAGTATAAGTAATTATGGTTGCATTTGTACTAAAATAATGAAGAAAGAAACTTATGTAAGAATCATATGTAAGTATTTTCTTTCTATGACTATTTTTGACTGGGAACCTGTGGTTCCTTTAAGCTTAAGAAAAAGAGTTTAACCCCATAGACTTTTGCATTCCTATAGATTTTCTTTGCAATATGTTAAGTACTTAACAAATACTAGTATTTCATGCAGATTGATATTGCTGTATTGCAGAAGATGTTAGTTGATAGTGTACATTATGTATGGCTGGTTTTTCATAGTAACTCAATTAGTGGTGTTATATAAGGGTTTAAAACTTTATGTTCCCAATATTGTATAGAGTCACTTTTAAAAACAGTTTGTACAGCTGTTACTGTATTTTTTAATAAAACAGTAGTTATTTAACTTTGGTAGAGTTTATGTTCTGTTAAAAACAGTAAATTAGTTCCTTAAAAATGTCCATTTGGTTGTAGAAAGTCATGGCATTTTTTTTCTATTTGCCTATGCAAGCCACGACTTCTAAAGATAGTTCTTATGCAGCAATTTTCATTTTATATTTGAATGATCATTGTTTCCATCATTTCACTGTATTATATCATCCTGTTTCGGTTTCATAATATATCACTAGCATCTAAACTTTAAAATTTATTATTTTTATTAAAGTAAATAATGGTGGCAGTGCATGGAATTTTTGATTAAAACTAGAAAGAAGTAAGAGAGGTGTCACAACATTGAAATTGTGATAAAAGAAATATTTTCTTTATAATAATTGCAGAATAATATGTATGTAGAAAATAATTGCATCTGTAGTAATAAAGTCTTCCAGTACAAACTGTACATAATATAGAGCATATACTCTATTACCATCAGTGTAAGATATTTTAACATATATGTAGTAAACAAAGATGCAACATAATTTATGCCTCATATGACTGCAGTACATTGGTTTTTCACCTCACCCTAAATAGTGGAACATAAGCCTAATTCACTGTTCTCATTTTAAATAAATTAATAGAGTAATTTGTCTACTAGACATCCATTAGAAATTATTGTCTCTGCAGAGAGACGTACTGTTTTTTATTGTTTCTTCTGTCTTTCTTCTTCCAAACACTTTTAAAATGATTGCCATTCCTTCACTTATTGGTAGATTTGGTACAATACACACAGACACCTCTTTTACTTTGACCCCATAAAATCCCTAACTTGAAACTTGATAGGGTTATACCCTGGTACAATACACACAGACACCTCTTTCACTTTGACCCCATAAAAATCCCTAACTTGATAGGGTTATACCCTGGTACAATACACACAGACACCTCTTTCACTTTGACCCCATAAAATCCCTAAAAAGGCCTAAATCCAAAAGATGAACAAATATTTTTGATTTAAACTTTTTTTAGGAACTTTAAGGGGTCAAAGGTTAAACAACCCAAACAAATGTATATTTTAGGCTCCTGTGTAGTCATATTTACAGCAATCAAGATGAAAAAATAACATAAATATAAATTTTCATGCTCCCAACACACTGATTTCCCTATTTTTAGTAATTGTAGGGTATAATTGTAGGGTATTTTGACAAGTACTCCACTGTATTTCAGCCAATTTACATGAGATTTGGTACAAAGATACTTTTTCACAGGTCCCATACATATACATAAAAATGTGGGGTATGTCCATTTTAGGGGGATCAAAGGGTTAAATAAATTAATAATTTTAGGAGTTTTGGTCAATTATTTAGCCTTGTTTCAACCAACTTGCAGGTAATTGCATACAAAGATACTTTTTTAACAGGTAACACACATTGACAAACAAAAATTTTGGACTTGCCTATTTTTAACAATTGAAAGGAGGATCAAAATGCCACAAAAAGCATAATTTTAGGATTTTTTTGACAATTACTTCGCTGTATTTTGTCAAATTTACATGGGATTTGGTACAGATGTACTTTTCTATTGGCAACTTACATTGGCGTACAAAAATCTGAGATTTACCCATTTTCAGTTAGTTTATGGGGTCTAAAGGTAACAAAACCATAATTTTAGAGGTATTGGTCCATTTCTTGGCCTTATTTTGACCAGGTTATTTGGATTTGGTACAAAGATACTGTGAGCATGTCCCCAAACAGAGATCCAGACAATTTTGGAATTTTTGTCTTTTACTCTATTTTTCAGCTAGGAAAGCACAAATTCATGTGTATGTCAACCAAATGACATAGGATTTGGTACAAAGATGCTGTGAGCATGTCCCCAAACAGAGATCCAGACAATTTTTGGAATTTTTTGTCTTTTTACTCTATTTTTCAGCGAGGAAAGCACAAATTCATGTGTATGTCAACCAAATGACATAGGATTTGGTACAAAGATACTTCTTCCAGGTCCCAATTTTCTGTGTTTTCTACAATTTTTCTGGTGTCAAAATTGGCCATGTTGGAATTGTGTGGCAGAGACGTTGCATTCGCTCACGAACGTTGGCCTCTTTAATATCGTATGAGTTTTATTTATTTTTCTCATTGTGTTCATATGTTGTTTTTTTCTGTGTGTTTCTTTTACATACCTATGTACTTTGCATAATTAAACCTCTTTAACTGAGAAATAAAGAATTCAACATCCATCTTTTCCAATTTTACACAAATACCAAATGTAGTTAAAATCCTAGTTTGTTGCAAAATTTCAAATATAGGCTTTATTGTTTGTGAGATTTTAGTGCTGTTCATTCACTTTCATTGATCTAAAGAAAAGTTTTGCACACTAGCAACATTTCTTAAAAACAATTAGATATAAGAATTAAATATACAGGTAGACAGATGTTTATATATGTTATATGTTGTTGTTGTTTTTGTTTTTTTTAAGATAATGCTACAAATAATTGAAAATCGACTGAATAGAGTGGTCTGTGATGAGGTCTTAGAAACGGCTTGGAGCACCATGTGGAATATTACAGGTACTTTGTTGATTACAACTTTGTATAGAAACAAACATAGACAGAAAGTCTAAAAATGGAAATTTTTAAATCATTTATGTTGAAAGAAACAAACATACTAACACATTCTGCATGTGTAAACGAAATTTAATTTGTTTGGTAACTTGTAAGCCATGTGAGGTGAATGATCTATGGTTCATTTCACAGGAACAACGTGTTTTAAGTGTAGATCGTGAAACTCGAAGAAGGAGCCCAGTTTGAAAAGATATTTTGTTTCGTCGAATTTTTCTAACAAAAACTCTTTCTCAACTGAGCATATATTATATGCAGTTAAAATTACAATACAGTTGTGATATTTTCATTCTAAAGATATATTTTATCAAAAAATGATGTATATATATATATGGAAAAAGCAATTGTTAAAACATTGTTAAAAGTGTGTTCAAGCACTGATTAGCATACAAGTACTATAAAGAATAAAAGAAAGTTTAAACATAAGAAAATGTTCCAAATGTGAATGTCAACAACAGAGAAAAACTGTTATTCAGGAGTTCCAGTGAAATGGGTTAAAAATATATATATACAGTCCTCATTTATGTAGAAGATATGAATTATTTTGTAGACTTAAATGTTTTGTGATAAACATTAATATTAAAAATCATGACAAAAACATTGGTTTACACTATAAATCTCTATGTTCTTTTTTAAGTCCTTTATTATGTAGTCATTAATATGAG